CGCGGCGGTGCCGGCCCCGCGCTGCGGCCCCCGCGCCTCGTGGGGCGGCCGCGTCGCCCTCCCGCCGGGCTCTGCCTTTGGGGGCCTCCTGCCGGGGCTTGGCTTTTGCTGAGATGATTAATCATGAAATTACCAGTAACTCGTCGGGTCTGATGGAGTTATCGGTGTAAATGCAGAGTTTTTCCGCGGTCAGAGGAATAGTTTCCTTCATTTTTGAAGCCACGAACATGCAGGTAGCTCCGAGCAATTGCAATCTGCTCTTCTTGAGGGGTTCCAGCGACAAAAATCTGTCCAAATAATTCATAGCCAAGGGGAAAACTTCCTCTTCGCACTTCTGCTCCTCGCAAACCTGGAAGAGAGGAGAGATCGTTGAGTAACAATTTAGTATGGGTGAAAGCTAGTCCTGTCCTGCTGCCCTTGCCTTCCCTCCCCCTCACAGCCTCTGCAAAGCGAGGCTCATGGACAAAACGGGGAAAACGCAGTTGAGAAAAAACGTGTAAGTAAGGAAAAAAAAAACAGAGGCGTCAAAGAAAATGAAAGAGAAAGTCACGAGTGACACGAGTGACAAAGCGGGGAGAAATGTGGCGTTAGAAACCCGCAGGCGAGTCCTGGTTTGAGGGAAAAAAAAAAAAGGAGGAAAAAAAACGAGGGGGGGAAATAGATCTGCCCTCATCTTCTCGGCCCCTGGAACAGAAAAGAAAAAAATGGAGAAAAAAAAGAGAGGGGAGCATGAGCCCCCATACCCGGGAATATGTGTGCACATGTAGGGTTGCCCACAGATTTATTTCGGTTATTTGGCTTTTTTTTTAATAAATATATCTTTTTAAATTGCCTGTGCGCTGCCGATCCCCCTCTTTCTGCTCGAGACACAAAGGTGGCGTCCAGCCGCATTTCCCCAGACGTCATCTTTTCAAAAAATATTTAAAAATATTTAAAAAATCCTCCGAGCCCCCAAAAGCGGCTGAAAACGCCGCGGCGGGGGCCCTTTACCGAGCCCCGCGGCGAGGGGGCGCGGGGCGGGCTCGGGGGGGACACCCCGAAGTGGAAAGCGCCGAGCCCCCCTCTCGCCGTGCGGCGCGGCGAGGCGCGACGCTTCGCAGAGCGAGGCAGGGCGCTGCGCTTTCAGAAATTAATTAAAAATAGAGCGCGGGCGCGCGGCGCTCGCCAAGGGGCACGAAAACGCGGCGCGGAGCGCGGGGCTGCTCGCGGACCCCCCGGGCCGGCGCAGGGGGCTCCCCGCAAGCGCCCCTGGGCGCAGC